TACCAGAAAAAAATTGTTTTAAATTACGCCATGAATCAACTCATCCATCATTCACATGTGGTATGCAATATGTTTTTCACCAAGTACAGACTCACTCAAAACAATACCACAGGCTGCTGTTATTTGTGCAGATGTTACTAACTTTAAACAGATGGTTGCAATGTTTTCAGTAAGCACATTACATTGGGTGAGAATGAAGATGATACAGTCCTACAAACAAACGGTTAGGAGTAACCCAATCAGTTGTTTATTTGGTATATGTGCATGATTTGTCAGTCTTTTGTTCAGTGTTCTTGAACTTGTGGATTCTTTTTCACAACTATATTTATCATTTTTTAACGAATTAATAATTAAGCAATGTTTGTAATAACTTATTTTACATCTCATTGTCTTGGCATATGCTTTAATACTGTAAAAGGATTAATTATTAACTGCATTTTAATTTTGCTTATTTCGCTGACTGGAAAATGCGCTAAATTAAAACCCAGTGAATAGGTAAAATTTAGCATAGAACACATTGTCTAAATGATAAAACGTTAATTTAAAACCCACAGAATATACCTGAAATGGTAAATAATTGAAATTTAAACCCAGTGAAAATCAGTATCATGGTTATGCTTTAATTAATTACTCTGAACTGAAATTGCAGTTATTGCTTTAATTTGACGAGTACACGAAGACTCCCTGAGACTTTCTGGATGACATTTTGAAGAAACCATTTTTTCTCAGTATTTTAGCTCAACATTTTGTAGGGGTTTATGTATTTTTCAGTAATTTCTTCATTAATTTTGGATCAAATAAAAATAATTTCCCACTGGCTTTGTCTTGATCAACATTGTTTTGAAAAAATGTAGACAACATTATGCAGGTTTGGGGTTTTTTTTCCCGAAGGTGTCAAAAGTTGCCTATGATGGTCAAAGGAGTCAAGGTTTTTCCAAAAGTGAAAAATTTACAAATATTAAAGTTAGATAAATGACATATTTAATACCTTATAGAAAAATAGCAATGAAGAAGGAACAACTCAGCCTTCAATTCTGATTGCTGAAACCCTATTATTCAAACACTGTTAAGGCATTAGTTTCAACTGGGATTTCATCTCACAATTTTGAACATATTCACTTGCTTTGCAAATAAAGAGTTCTACTGTAATTGCACATGTTCATATGAAAGTAATTTATAAATTACGAAAATAAAATCCAGTGGATCTTAAACGATTTGACTGGGTAAATTGAACACTGGGTGGGGTTGGTCCAGATAACCTAGGTTCATCATTATTTGGACTAGAATTGCAATAAAAATCAAGATTCAAGGAGCGGTAATAAAAAAACCATTACCGTTTAAAGTCAAATACCAACAGATTACACCAAATAAAGAGATGGCAGAAACAGACTTGACTGACCCATCAACAGAAATAAATGTCTGTTTTAAGGAGGGATATTGCAATTCAGCAGGAATCATAGTCGTAAACTATAGACAAACTATTCCCTCTAAAAAAGGGTGGAGTATTTAAAACAGACGGGGGGGGGGGGGTCGCACTTCTTAGATATACACATGTAGTATCAAGAACCTATTGTTTACACTACACTAGGGGTTGACATTGGGAGTTGTCCTGGCAACCAATGTGAAAACTGACTACCCATTGGGACTGCATAAAAGTATTAAAATACACGAAGTACAATATGACACATGCATGTACCCAATGTGGTATTATCATAGAACATACATTTGCTTTAGAAACAACATACGGTATACATCATAAATGCAAAACAGAAGTTTTACAAAAAAAACAATTACTAACTCACTGCTGGTAGTTATCATAATTCAGTTCACTATTCACAACTATAGTGAAAGTATAATGAAGACTTGGTTTGATATGATTAGGTGGCGGTCCCAGGGACCTTATAGACTTGATCTATGACTGGCAATGCCTTCATTAAGGAATGGGAGATAACTTGAACAGATTTACTTTCCCTCACATCATCGTAAATCGACTGAATACTTTTGTCACCTTTCACTAATAAGTAAAATTTGCTAAATTAAATCCTCATGTAGAACAACAAAATAATTCATTGTTTCTCCGCCAAGTTTGTGAACTTAAAAGGTTTTACAGTTAGTCTATTTGTTCCAAATTAATCCTTTAAGTGCCCAAGTCAATTTATGGCACCATTCACAAATATCAAATCCACTTAAATTTTTCATATTTTTCTAAAATTTTGATTAACATTGTAGCCAATTAGTGATTGCGACCATTTGGAAAAAAATAATCAAAAATGTAAAGAAAATATGAAAACAGGCAAAAATCTTATACTATATTTTGGTGAAAGAAAAAACAGAAAAATGTGCTAATTCCTAACATTCAAAGTGTAAATGTACTTGTACAACTAATAAATTCTTATAAATTTGTATATATAAAGTCTTCATACAACTCAAATTAAAACACATCACATGAACCAGACCGTAAAAGATTACTTTCTCAACAAATTGATAATTTTTAAAAAATTCAAAATTGTATTTTTCATTTCATTGCATGCTGATCATCTAATGAACGACTTTGTAGAATTCATGAGATCTGTAATTTCAAGGATTTTTGATGAACATCACCATCAGTTCATTTCTATAATCAGTTTTTCCTGATATTTCATATCAACTCAATGTCTCCATGTTTTAACGGTAAATTT